CAAACATCTTCCAAAAAGCGACTTTGATATATGATATTTTAACCTCTTAGCTACACTTGTTTGTCGCCATCTTGTTTACATATGCAACTGTCTCAAACGTCTTCCAAAATGCGACTTTATTAAACAGTCGATATTTATTGCTGTTCAAAAGTATTTGACTAGCTTGTAATACACTTTAACATCTAATATAAACACACAAAATGGCTGTAAACAAATAAATGCTACTCTACGTTGTTAACCTATGATGTCCTCGTCAAATACGTCAGTAGAAGCTGACTACTTATTGTCACAACTTTAAGGCAATTTAAAGAAGTTAAAATGTTAGGCACATTTTGTCTTCTGTCCTTCTATATGTAGATTATAAAAAATTCAATTGCAGTGAAAATACGAAAATGGTTTATCATGATGGTTCACGAGTGACGAGTAGTTAAAGAATTTCACCATGAAAATTTATGGAACATAAAATAAAAGAAGTTTTGGTCGTAGACTGAGTGACGTGAAAAGTAAAAGTAGAAAAGTAGGAATTGTATAATTGAGGGGTGGAGAAGAATAGAAGTAGTGATCGCGATTCGCAAAGTAACGCATTCGCCGGGTAATTGCCGGGCTAATCGCGGGTAATTAGGGCCCTAATGAGGGCCAGCAGGTCGCGTGTAACGTACGCTTCGCTTTATGAATCTTAACAAGCGCGAGAACAAGCTGCCTGGCGCGCTTGTTCGCTCGCGAGCGTGCACGCGATTCGTCTCCGCCTGAAAAAGCGAGCTCTTATCTTCGGCATTAACATTCTTAAATTGTAGCGATATCGATCGGTTGAAAAAGTTCGTTATTAAAATTAATAAAAATCGAGCACGGAAAATTAGCGTCGTTTAAAAAAATAATTAATAACGTGGTTTAAACGATTGAATACTTGGAAGGATTAAAAAGGGGTTGAATCAGATAGCGGTTTCGAAATAATCAGAATTTTATGCAGCTGCCAAGTTCATTCATCGTTAGCAACGAATAGACTGATTTAAATGTTTACCTTTCTTATCGCATAAATTGCAAGCGTGCATAATAAGTTTAATTAACGAGCTCGCGTTAAGGGCCGTCTCGTAAAACGTGCAGCACGCAACCCTCGCTAGGGGATGCAGTGACCGAACTTCACTTGCTCGATGCTAATTACATTCCAAACACAGGCTTAATGGTACAGTGATTTTTCATCCGCTTCATTATTGTCATCGGTACAACTTACCACTAGTCACGATCCTTTCAACGTAAATTACGTCGAAATTTATCAGGAAGCGATGCAACGATAGCTGCTATTATTACCACACGGAAACTTGTTCACTCGAATCCAATTATTCTTGCGGAATTAGATTCGTTTGTATTAGCATTTTAAAAAAAGAACAAGGGACTCGTAATCTGAGCAATGAACTACTTAACCTGACAGGTTCGTGTGATAAAACGGAATGCGACTCGGTCTAATTTGCGGATAGTAAGTTTCAGTAAATAATTATACGAATAGTTAGAGGACTCGAAGTAAGTAAATTTAAAGGCAGCATCGAATGAAGCAATTTGGAACGAAAACGGAGAAGCGAAGGAAAGGCAGAAAGAACGAGAGCCTGTTTTTTGATCGAAGTATCAAGATGGCGTCGAAGCTGGTTCCTCCATTCTCCCGACTTAATTCACAATACCATCCCCTCGTTCCTCTCCCAGCCCCTTTTTTGGAGCACGTTACGCCCATGGAATACGTAATACAACGATATATGCACGTAATGCATCTAGATCGTCCGGCACGCAATTGGCGCATATGGGTGAAAGAACGTCGCACACCACCGAAACACCCCTCGATCGTCCATTAGCATATCAATCACCTCGTTATACGCTCGTTCGTTCTGCGAAAACGCCATTAAACTTCAATAGATGCCACTGTACTTGAAGGGACAACGGAAACTGTCGTGGGGTTCGACGTACAGGGGTGTTTTTCGCTGCTCGAGTATTCTACGAATTGCTCTGGATATAATTTGTAGCGTTTATATTTGTTAATTATTTTTGAAGGTGGAAGATTGAGAATGGGGGGTTTGAGAAATTGGGGAGTTTGGATAGTTGAGGTGGAGTTTTGGAGGTTTGGGAAATTGGGAAGGGGAATTTGGAATTTGGGGAGTTGGGAAATTGGGGAGTTGGGAAATTGGGGAGTTGGGAATTCGGGGGATTGGGAAATTGGGGAGTTGGGAATTTGGGGACTTGGGAAATTGGGAACTTGGGAAATTGGGAAGTTGGGAATTCGGGAGCTTGGGAATTTGGGGACTTGGGAATTCGGGAGCTTGGGAATTTGGGAGCTTGGGAATTTGGGGGCTTGGGAATTCGGGAGCTTGGGAATTTGGGAGCTTGGGAATTCGGGAGCTTGGGAATTTGGGGACTTGGGAATTCGGGAGCTTGAGAATTCGGGAGCTTGGGAATTTGGGAACTTGGGAATTCGGGAGCTTGGGAATTGGGGGACTTGGGAATTCGGGGGCTTGGGAATTCGGGAACTTGGGAATTCGGGGGCTTGGGAATTCGGGAGCTTGGGAATTTGGGAGCTTGGGAATTCGGGGGCTTAGGAATTTGGGAGCTTGGGAATTTGGGGACTTGGGAATTCGGAAACTTGGGAAATTGGGGGCTTTGGAATTCGGGGACTTGGGAAATTGGGGACTTGGGAAATTGGGGACTTTGGAAATTGAGAATTTGGGAATTCGGAAACTTGGGAAATTGGGGATTTCGTTATTGGGAAATTTGGAAATTTGGGGGCTTGAGAAATTGGAAACTTAAGTATTGGAAAATTTGAGAATTTAGGGACTTGGGAATTTAGGCACTTGGGACTTGGACATTTGGGACTTGGAAATTGGAAATTTGGGAATTTGGAGACTTGACAATTTGAAATTTGAAAATTTAGAAATTTGGTGCTATAGGAATTTAGAAACTTAGAATTTTGAGCAATTGGAAACTTGGAAATTTAGAAATTTGGTGCTATAGGAATTTAGAAACTTAGAATTTTGATCAATTGCTAACTTCAAAATTCATAAATTCCTCACTTTACAAATCCACAAATTCCAAAATTCAAACCTTCCAAATTCCCACCCCCCACAATTCCCCACCCTACCCTCCCCACACCACACATTTAAAATTCCAAAAATCCTGTCAGAGGTCTAACTAACAAAACGAATATAGTCAGCAAGCAGAACTCGGATCCGCTCCGTAAATATAAAAGATAAAGATCTTGAAGATAGAAACCAAGGAGTGATTGATTTAAAAAAAGTGCAGATCTCGCGATATGCAAAGAGCGCAGATAGACGTAAGAAAAAAAAAAAACAGCAGAAATAAATTGCAATTTTAGATGCGATGCGTGAGATAGGCGTGGAATTTTGTCTACGTTCCCGATAATTGAATGCGGGTTCTCTTTAAACGAGGTAATTTGATGCCGCTCGCGCTGCTTCGCACCCTTGCGCCCAAGCGCGTTGTAATTACCGTTCTAATTGTCCGGTAATTAACCGCAACGTGATTCCAACGTGCTTACGAATGTTTCTCACTTTTCAGACATGGTTTCTGAAGAATTGTATCGATCAGATGCGTCAAATTGACAACTTTCGTCGACTATATGAATTATTCATTGATTTTACGCAACGCGTTTCAAAATTGTAGTGATTTAACGAGTCGATCAGATTAATACTAATAATACTAATTTACTTTTGCGTTGGGAGAACGGTAGAGTTTACCTATAATTTTGTGTTGCGTCACATCTCTGCAATCTTTAAATAAAATATAGCTTTATTTTGGATTTAATGATCTGTGACTATATAAATTGTAATGGATACTGAAATCGATACAAAGCTTAGTCCGCGAGTTTGTGGTGCGTCAATGTGCGTTACATGTATGACTGTATTATAAGCTAGAGGGTTAACTGTGACAGACATGTGACACAGAACATATCACCGTTTAAACTGACTCTATACTTTTTACCCTTTCAGTGCTAAATTATTGAGTGCAGCTCTTTACAAGTTCTCTGTACAAGTCCTTTTGAGTACAACTCTTTCAGTCACAAAGGTAGAAGGTTTAAGGGTTGCAAAAGGTTCAAGGGTTGATTATAAGTATCCTAACCCACAATTTTCTAGACAGTTACGTCCTGCACAAATGACTAATTATTTTCACAGTGTGACATAGTTAAAAAGTTACATTTTCCAACGATTTTTATAAAGTTTACAAATGAACTCATTGCGATGAAGTTATCAAGTGTGAACCGTGTGGGAAACTGGAGACTTAGGAATTGGGGAATTTGGGAATTCGGGAGCTTGGGAATTCGGGAGCTTGGGAATTCGGGAGCTTGGGAATTCGGGAGCTTGGGAATTCGGGAGCTTGGGAATTCGGGAGCTTGGGAATTCGGGAGCTTGGGAATTCGGGAGCTTGGGAATTCGGGAGCTTGGGAATTCGGGAGCTTGGGGAGCTTGGGAATTTGGGGA